ATGTATAGAAAGGTAGATAGATAGATAGATTCACTGAGTTTCTGTCACTGGTCGAACCGGCTCTCGCTGCCTTTAGTCATTTTTTGGCAAGGGCGCGGGCGGCGCGGCCCGCCATAGTGATAGGACAGCTGTCCTGGATCGGCGCGGCAGGCTAGATCGGCGCGCGCGGCTTTTAGGTAGTTTGGATAGGGCGCGGCCCGCCATAGTGACCAGGCACTGCTGACTGCTGAGTGCAGAGTAACCCAGTGTCCAGTAACTCAGTAGTCAGAAAGGTTAAAATGTTGGATTCTGTATGGACAGCAACAGTTATTATTCACGTAGCAGCTTCAATCACAACTTTATCTCAGTTATTCAATCAGATTCAGACAGGGGAAGAAGAACAAGATTAAAAGTGAAGTTTTTTTTATTATATAAGTCATTTGTTTGCTAAGCTGGTAGATCGAACAAAAGTCATATCTAATAATTAAACAAGCAAATCAACATTATAAGCTGGATGCAGGAATTACAGAATATACGAATTCTTTAGCGAAACTTGACTTCGCAATTAATTCAGTGGCAAAAGAAACAAACTGCATATTGTCAGTATCTAAAAAGCATTTGCAAGAGGAGGACGGAATTTATTTCAATGACTGACAATAGCATAGATCCAGGCGGGTCGACTATATAAATAGTTAATAAAAAAGTAGACGTCGTGTCGCCAGGTTAGCATATTGCATCAAAAGGCGGGTCGCCATAAATATTTGACCAAATTATGTAGGCGTGTCGCCATTTATTTAATTATAGGCGAGTTGCCATCTTAGTCACAACAAACAGACGTGTCGCCATGAATCATCGATGATGCCATGATTTTAATCAAATAAGTATCTAAATTAGACTTCGCAATCAATTCAGTGGAAAAAGAAACAAACTTTTCGTCAATGTTTCAAAAGCGTTTGCAAGAGGAGGACGGAATTTCTTAGCTGTTTTCATGTATTTAGTATAAAGTTGAAGTTGACTGCTGGATACAATTAAGCATTTATTGATAATTTTACACAGTTTTCATGTAGTTTTCACGTAGTTTTCGCTAAGTTTTCAGAGGGATCTGATTCAATTCAGCAATTCAATTCAGGAGTGCGGCGGTAGTTGAAGTCTATTAAGGAGAGAATTGCTTACAACGTCTTCATACTACGTCCACTACATGTTTAGATTTTTGGATGGTCGATCCGTGCTTCTCAAGCTGAGCCCATTCCGTTGCCAGTTGCAGTTCGTAGTCTGAATTCGTTTTATAAGCAATCTCTCTCCGAATTGGCAGTAAAGCAAAGATTTTGATAGGTGATGAATCATTGAATTCTATGTTTATTTTGTCATTGATATGCTGAAGAAGGCATGTGAAGCAAAGAATTTGTATTTCTCTAGAAGTATCTCAAATTCTCAAAACGAAGAGAGAAAGTATAATTAGCCAAATATCACTGAATTTAAATGATGTTAAAATATGTTTAGTATTAGTATTTAGGGATTTTTTTTATACTTACTGTTTATATTTTTATCCTTTTCCTCAATAACTGTTAATATTATCTTTTATACATCATTAAAAAATAGGACTTTAATCTGTTTGTTTAGTTCAGACTCTATTCTGTTTGTTTAGTTCAGACTTTAATCTGTTTGTTTAGTTCAGACTTAAATCTGTTTGTTTAGTTCAGACTTTAATCTGTTTGTTTAGTTCAGACTTTATTCAGTTTGTTTAGTTCAGACTTTATTCTGTTTGTTTAGTTCAGACTGGTTTAAAGTGGGGGAGGGGAGGAGGGTCAGATGATTAAATCTAAACATCTTTATCTAGATGATTTAAGCACATTCCTTATTTAAAATGCGTTCCCAAATTAGAACGCGTTCTTGATAATAAGAATGTTTAACGATTTTAACCGTTCTTTTCAAGCAATTCCCCTTCCGTTCCGTTCTGTTCTTTTACTAATCGTTCCAATATTCTTAAGAACGCGTTCTAAGCGTTCGTTTTTTTTTCGGAACGATGGGATCGTTCTTGATCGTTCCGTTCGTTCTCGGCAAAGAACGATCGTTCCACCGTTAACGCGCCCAGCCCTAGTTGGAGTTTATTAAGGAGAGAATTGCTTACTACGTCTACTACATGTTTAGATATTTGTATGGTCGATCCGTGATTCTCAAGCTGAGCACATTCCGTTGCCAGTTGCTGTTTGTAGTCTGTATTCTTTATTCTTTTTATAAGGAATCTCTCTCCGTATTGGCATTAAAGCAGCGATGTTGATAGCTGATGAATCATTGAGTTCTATGTTTATATTGTCACTGATATGCTGAAGAAGGCATGTGAATCAAAGAATTATTATTTCTCTCGAAGTATCTCAAATTCTCAAAACAAAGAGAGGAGAGAAATAGCAGTATTAAAGTAGTAAACACTCGAATATTTTGTAGAATAAAATATTAAATTCTAAAAATATTGTGTTCGCAGGTGGAATGGTGAGTGTCATAGTTGTCGGAGGCGCCGCAGAGAGTATGTTTTCATCAGAATCTCAAGTATGTTTCTTGTAGTTTGATCAAGTGTCAACTAAATGTTTCTTTAGTTTAATATGAATGTCAACTATGTAATTTTCTTAAGTTTAATCTAAGGTAATGCCGTGCCCACCAACAAATACCAAATACCAACAGTTAATGGCAAAATATCTTCTGTTTGCACCACTATAAAATTGAGATCGTTAACTAACGGTAACTTAAAAAAATACCGTATTTGAAAATGAATGTTCTGTTCCTGAAAATTTTCTTCATTAACGATTGGACTAACCGTTAACCAAACGTATAAAAAAGTTGGAATTTGCTCAGAGCTGAAAACTTTAGAATAGTGGATATTGAGATTAATGCTTGATCCTCTCTTTTTTTAATATCGAGACCAACCTCATCTTGTACTTGTACCATGAAAAGTGTATGAAATTCAACCAATCCGAGTCGCATTGCATGGGAGGGACTCTCTAAATTTAAAAAAGGGTTTTTTGATTTTTCTCTACTTTATCCAAAAAAGTACGGTTTAAGAAGAAAATCAAAAGTGTGTCCATTGGATACTTACTCAGATTAAGTAATTGGGATTTAGGATATCTCATTCTAAAGCTTTCAGCTCTGCTCTATCTCTCGAATATGCTTACTTTAATTTCCATTTTTTTTTGTACGAGTCCCAATTTGGCTCTTTTCATGTCCCAACAATTCAAATTGCAAGTCCCTTCAAGGCATTTTCTGTAAATAGCATTACAATTGTAAATGTTTTCTGCAAATCAAGAAATTACCTTTTAGAAAGATTGTATTGGTCAGAAAAAGTTTAAGTTGCGGCAATATTTTATAAAACATTTGCACTTCAGTATTGATTTATTTCAATTCTAGTGATTTATTGTGTTCAGGTTTCCCTGGTATTGAATAAAAGAAAAGGATTTATAAAGATTGCTTTACAGCATGGAGCACAGGTATGTACAGCCATTTTATTAGCGCAATATTTTGGTTTAGACGCCATTTTGTTTTAGACGCCATTTTATTTTAGACGCTATATTTTTTACGCGATCTTATTTTTGACGCCAGCTGTTTTTGACGCCATTCTGTTTTTGACACCATTCTGTTTTTGACGTCATTCTGTTTTTGACACTTTTCTGTTTTGACGTTATTCTGTTTTTAACTCTTAGATAACTATTGTTTATTAGAGGGACTGTAGACTAGAGTGTTGAAGTAATTACAAGTGGTCCACCAGCTTTAAAGTGGCAACCCATTCTTAGTTTAATAGACGTTTTAGGACTATTCATGTTTCCTTTCTAGTCACAATATTATAGCTTTTATTTGTTAAAGTGTGTTGTTCTTCAAGACGCCGTTCCTTCATCGCTTTACCATTTAAACACTTATCTGAGCTGAAACCTTCAGAATTAAGGATATCGAAATCAATGTTTAATCTCTTTTTTGTTGATTTCAAGATTAATTGAATTAGATTGGTTTGGAGAAACCAGAACAGTCGGACAATTTTTAATTTTACGCGCTATTTAATGAATGAACTCTTGCATTGGTCGGAAAATGACAAAAATAGAAGAAAGGAGTGGATTTAGAAGGAAATTAAAAGTGTTCACAATTGGATATTCAAATTAAGCGACCGAGATTAAAGGTATTCAATTCTTTCAGCTCTGAGCTGAAAACTTTAGAATTGGATACCCTTAATCCCAATCGCTATATCTGAATATATCCACTGTGGAAACTTATGATTTTTTAATCCTCTTTTTTGGTACACTCTGATAGATAGAATTTTAGGCACTTAAGTGGAGTGGATACAGAATACAGATTATTATAATCTGAAGATTAACAAAAAGAGAAGATCAAGCAGTGGTCTCAATATCCACAATTCTAAAGTTTTCAACTCTAGTTAGTTATATTAAACGGCACTAGATGACTATAAGTTTTTGAATTTGATGCAACTTAATCAAATTCTCCTAAATCCCCTTCCAATTAATCTGTCCCAGATTCCATCTCCCCTTTTCACTCTTTCCTAATAGTTTAACCTTCCCCCTCTTCTTGGCTCATATCTCCTTAATTCTATATTCGTGACACTATAAGTGAAAATACAGTGTCTCTTGATTTCATAATTCAGGATTTCATGTCACTGTTTATATCTTAAAGAGACTGTCAACTAATTTGCAAGTAATCCTGCATAAAATAATTTTTTTTCTTAATTTACGACGCTGCCCTTTTCACTGTTTTTTGTTTTGTTTTGAAGTTTCTTGCGGAATTGCAGCAGAGACAATTAAGGAAGGCAAATGCCAGAATATATCTGGGGTTTAAAGATAATGAACGACGATGTCTTCCTCATCGTTTCTCAGATAAAGATGTAAAGCTAGGGAATCTGTTGCTCAGATAAAGATGTAAAGCTAGGGAATCTGTTGCTCAGATAAAGATGTAAAGCTAGGGAATCTGTTGATCAGCTAAAGATGTAAAGCTAGGGAATCTGTTGCTCAGGTAAAGATGTAAAGCTAGGTAATCTATTGCTCAGATAAAGATGTAAAGCAAGGTAATCTGTTGATCAGATAAAGATGTAAAGCTAGGGAATATGTTGCTCAGATAAAGATGTAAAGCTAGGGAATCTGTTGCTCAGATAAAGCTGTAAAGCTAGGGTATCTGTTGCTCAGATAAAGATGTAAAGCTAGGATATCTGTTGATCAGATAAAGATGTAAAGCAAGGTAATCTGTTGATCAGATAAAGATGTAAAGCTAGGAAATTTGTTAATCAGATAAAGATGTAAAGCTAGGTAATCTGTTGCTCAGTTAAAGATGTAAAGCAAGGTAATCTGTTGCTCAGATAAAAATGTAAAGCTAGGGAATCTTTTGCTCAGATAAAGATGTAAAGCTAGGGAATCTGTTGCTCAGATAAAGATGTAAAGCAAGGTAATCTGTTGCTCAGATAAAGATGTAAAGCTAGGGAATCTTTTGCTCAGATAAAGATGTAAAGCTAGGAAATCTGTTGCTCAGATAAAGATGTAAAGCTATGGAATGTGTTGTTCAGATAAAGATGTAAAGCTAGGGAATCTTTGCTCTGATAAAGATGTAAAGCTAGGGAATCTGTTGCTCAGATAAAGATGTAAAGCTAGGTAATCTGTTGCTCAGATAAAATGTAAAGCTAGGTAATCTGTTGCTCAGATAAAGATGTAAAGCAAGGTAATCTGTTGCTCAGATAAAGATGTAAAGCTAGGTAATCTGTTGCTCAGATAAAAATGTAAAGCTAGGTAATCTGTTGCTCAGATAAAGATGTAAAGCAAGGTAATCTGTTGCTCAGATAAAGATGTAAAGCTAGGGAATCTGTTGCTCAGATAATGATGTAAAGCTAGGGAATCTGTTGCTCAGATAAAGATGTAAAGCTAGGTAATCTGTTGCTCAGATAATGATGTAAAGCTAGGAAATCTGTTGCTCAGATAATGATGTAAAGCTAGGAAATCTGTTGCTCAGATAATGATGCAAAGCTAGGGAATCTGTTGCTCAGATAATGATGTAAAGCTAGGAAATCTGTTGCTCAGATAAAGATGTAAAGGGGAAGGGGAATTTCAAGATTTGAAGTTGTGTTTAAAATATGAAATAATATACTTTAAAAAATGATTTTGTTTTATTTCAGCTTGTTCCAACCTTTTCTTTCGGTGAGGCTCATGTGTATAATATTATGAACACTCAGGAAGGAACTTGGATTCGGAATCTTCAAGAGAAATTCAGGTTACTTCCTGAATACTTGAAATATGTCTGTATTTCTATTCTAGGAAAATTTTCTGATTTTTTCACCAATATAATTGAGGCTGTAAATCACAATAAAAATATTTTTAAACTTATTTCCTAACCGCGGTGCTCGGCTCCAAAATGTACTTGTCCTAAGTTCTAACCAAATAACTGGCGAAATAACGTTTAATTGTTTCATTAAGCGTGATTATCTGAGATGGAATTTAAAGAATTTGAGTCGCGGTTTAAATCTGCCAAAACCCGGTTTAAATTAAGCGCCGGCTTAAATCTTGAAGCATTTGATACAATTTTAAGTGGAACCAACCATATTTAAGCCGCAGCTTAAATTTAAACCGCCGCGCAAATTCTTTAAATTCGGCCACTGGTCGTATATTTTAGGGCCATGTGGGGGGGGCAAGGGGTCTGACAGTCCTGAGATGGAATTTAAAGAATTTGAGCCGCGGTTTAAATCTGCCAAAACCCGGTTTAAATTAAGCGCCGGCTTAAATCTTGAAACATTTGATACAATTTTAAGTGGAACCAACCATATTTAAGCCGAGGCTTAAATTTAAACCGTAGCTCAAATTCTTTAAATTCGGCCACTGAACTAGGAATTTAGTGTTGTATTCTCATAATCCCGATCGCTTGATCTCGATATCCGCAGTGGGCACTTTTATTCTTAGAATTATTAAAGTTAATTTACCAGGGTCCGATTACCATGCAGATTATCGAATTAATTAATTCATTCTGCAGATCAAGAAAAAATCTAGATTAAGCATTGATCTTCTCTATCCAGATAATCCCTAATCTAAAACTAAAATGTTAAGAAATATTGTTGGGTTTGCTCCAGTCCTGTTCTTAGGACGAGGAATGTTCCAATACAATTTTGGACTTATTCCACACAGGTTAGAATTCTACAAGAAGCTTATTAAGTTGCATAAAAACTGTAAAAAGTTTTAATTTAATCCACCAGTTTACGTGCTAATAATAATATTTAAAATGTTCGGTTATTTTCATAAACTCTCAAAAGTGTGATCAATTATTTTATTTTGTTTGAACCCAAAATGACTAGAATTTTACTATTGTGCATATCCTCAATTTTCCTTATTTCCAAATAAAAATTTTCATGAAAAGTTCTCTGGAAGATACTCAACGAGGTTGACTTTCACATAAGGGAAGTGAAAACCAGAAAAATCTGGAATAGGAAATTATAATTTTAGATTTAAATTATTATTATTATTATAAAGATTTATTCACACACAAAGATATAAATACATATATAAAGGGTGTAGTTTAAATTTGTTTAAATAATTTTTTTTTGAAAATACAGGTTTCCAAAAGAAAAGAGAAAAAATATGCAAAATTATGCACAAAAAGAAAACATTGATTTTTACTCACTACATAACATATTTATCATTTCAGTTATTACGTAATCATCGAATCCTTGTTTCGTAATTTATTTCGATTGTTTTTATACACCCTATACCCGTCAAAGAATGGTGGTACAAAAAAACTGATAATTAACAAAAAAGTTATTAATGCAAAATTAAAGGAAATACGATTTTAAATATGATGTTTGTGACAATTAAACACATCTGAGCCCGCGATTTAAAAATTTTGGCTCGAGCCGTAATTCCTTAAACCCGACTTTAAGACCCGATGTCGACCCAACTCTGACGACAGCTTGTGTCACGTGATTGACAGCTGCAAGATCTTCGGCTCGACTTAAGCCCGATTTTAAGACCCAAGCGTTGACCCAACTCTGACGACAGCTTGTGTCACGTGATTGACAGCTGCAAGATCTTCGGCTCGACTTAAGGAGTTAGGCCCAATGAAAAAAAACAACCTTGGTTGGCTATAGTGGAGAATAAGGCTTAATGTTGAGTCTTGTTCTCATAAAAACCAGGAATGCGCCAATTCTTTCCATGAAAATCGCCTAATAGAATAATAACCGGTTTTTTTTTAACTCAATTCCGTTGAAAATAAGATGCAGCTTGAATCCGAAAGCTCAAGCTTAAATAAGGCCCAACAATAGCTTAGACTCGAGTCGTATTTTCACGATTTTTTTAATCGCGGGCTCATCAATGTTTAAGAACGAGCCAAAAAAGATGCCTCTAAGAATTATAGTCTTTTTGGTTCAATATTGAATTTTAAGAGCTCATTCCTAAAAGATTGAAAATTAAATATTATCAATTGTTTTTATTTTTAGAAAACCGGTTAATGTTGTCGTTGGCGAACCTATACCAGTAGAGAAAACCTCCAATCCTACAGGTTTAATATATTTATTATTTTTATTTTTTATTGATTACAGGGATACCCACAATGTTTGAAACTTTAATGTCGACATGAAACTCTTGAAATATAAATATTTTGTGTCTATATTTGGTATTATGCCTTGAAAATAGTTTAAAAAAGAATTTGAGATGTTTAGCAAACTAAAATAAGTGTACATCTACCGGGAACCTTGAATGTAGGGACAAATTTTTAATAAATTCTGCACAATCGTCTCCGAGGTCTCATCTTTATATGGGTAACCCTGTGGGCCTGTACCATCCTTCCAATGAAGTAATATTGTAATTTCCATCCGACTAAATGACCAATTAAAAAAAGTATACAAACTTGCTTTTAAATCTTATGTTATCCCAAATTTTTTTAATTTTTATAATATAGTTAAAAAACGAATCAAAATGGACCAACTGAAGGCACATCTCTAGATATCAGATATAACGAAGCAAATCAATCGTTAGCTGCAACGATTTGTAAAATCGATCTTCTGCAAGATGTCAAGATTTTAATTAGCGTAACAAAATTTTGAAAGCCTAAATATTCTGGGAGTTTATCAAATGGATAATAACAATGCTCAACTCTAAGTATCTAAATATAAATAAATATAAAACCTTAAAAATAAATGCCTTCTCTTCGATGGAGTAATTAGTGTCCCTAAGTGTTTTTACCACCTGCCCCGGCTGGTTGAAATTAAAGTTTAATACTTTATTAAATCAAGTTTATGATATCTCGTACATTATTCCAAAACAAAATCTAGAGTTCTTCACTTTATTTTCATAAAATGTAAGAAAGATATTGATGCCAAAAAAAAAAAGAATTTTCAAAGTCATTTCATTGAAATTGTGTCAAAATTAACTGTTATATGAGTGTTTAAGTTCAACCTTTTACGTTTTCTAAAATAAGAAAGAATAAAAAATTGCCATTTTCTTGCCCAACTTGCCTTTTTTCAATACAAATTAGGTTCTTTCTGTCTCCTTATATTTATGATTTCCTGCTACTGTAAAACTTGCTTTTTTGTTGTTGCCCAATCAGTAATAAAGCTAAGATAAGACTACATCTATGGCAGAAGATTAAAATTAACCATAAGATTGCCATATTTTAAGAATTCCAGGTGGTCTTTACAGTCTTATCCTTGTTGGTAACCCTAGCTGAAGATACATTAGTATTGTGAGCTTTGTGAAATATTTACAGTCTTTTCATTAAGCCCAAAGGGACTATGCACGTAATTTCAAAGAGTCAGTCATTAAGTTAATCTATAGTGATTTACATTACATATTTAAATTTCACCTAAGCAAAAATGAGACCGCTAACGCTGTTTTTCTTTCTTTAAAGTGTTAAATTCTTATAATTTCTTCCCTAGCCTGTACACTTCATAAATTCTAAAGTTACCCCTAAAGTGAAACCATTTATTAAAACTATAAAATCCTAGGATCAAAACTATATTTTTCACGCTTGTTAATAAAAGAGGTTAAAGGTATCGTTGTGAATTGAACTATTTAGGGTTTTATAAAGTCTCTGCAGTTCTTAAACATTATGTAATGTTACAAACTAAATTTTGTTATATTTTAGTTGAAGAAATCGAGGATTTACACAAGCAGTACGTTACAGCTCTTGTACAACTGTACGACAAGTATAATCCTGTGTACGGAGACACAAATATATCTCTAAATATTGTGTGAGATATATTACGATATTTCTCTTGATATTTTGTGATCTATTGCTGCAAATATTAATTGCTTTTATTCCTTTTTTCTATTATTTACAAATATGTTTATAAAATCCAGATTTGTAATTTTTATGTTTTATTGAATATTATATATAATTAGTTTATTTAGTTCTATCTTAAATTTTATTTATTTTATCCTAACTTTAAAAAATGCCCACCAATAACTTGTATTTAATAAATAAAGGTATGCATCATGATTTTTTTTAATGTATTCTTATTTAAAATGGTGTGAATGAAAATTTTTTTATTTGGAGAAAGAAATGTCGCGGAGGATGAAATAATTTGTACTTGTTATAACGGACATATTTTTAGACTTTTTACGGGCACATTTTATGACAATACAGTTACAAATAGTTTGAAAATCCTTTTAACATTAGTAAATAAAGACTTTTTTGGTTGAATTCTGGTTGAAAATATTTAAAAAACCTGTGTCCCACATTATATTGGGTCACCGTTTTAGCTCTAAATTGATATTTATGAAACCTAATCAGAAATTTAAAAAAAGGAACCATAAAAAAGTTGTATTTTTCGAGTTCTAAATGAATAATGTAATAGCGGTAATGCTTGGAGATAACCTATAATGATATGAGACGCTCTGTAGTTTTAAATAAAGCTTGACGCCTATTTAATGAGAACTTATTAAAAACTTTTATTGCAAACTTAGCCTGGGATGCACAACTAAAGAAAAGGCTAAAACCCAAGAAATAAAAAGTTAATCCCAATTTGAGGCTCATTAGATTAAATAAATAGCCTAGTTATAGAGGACGTGAGTCAGACTCTAAATAACAACGCATAAATAACTTCCAGTATATATATTTCTATAACTTATTACTAGAGGGTTCAGAACTAGAGTCAATATCGAAATCACACGTGTAGATGTTTTATCAGTACTATGCCCCGTATCCGTTCTATCTCATTCTGTTGAATCTTGTGGAACTAGTTTAACGCGGCCAGGCATCGTCTTCCACATAGTAATACAAAATTCGAAATCGTTCAACGGATTTACTATAATTGTTAGATTTTTATGTTTCATCTTAAAGTTGATTGTTCTCAATTCCGGCGTTCTCTATCAAAGTTATTTACGCATTTATGCAGAGGTAGAAAAAGAAAGAAATTATGATTAAATGCTTGTCAAGTTCGGAAAACGATGATATCTTCCATATCAGTTATCAGCAGATAAAGGAACCGGTTTAAATCTGACAATTATTAAATGGAGGGTGAATTAATAAAATCAGGAGTCAGCAGTTAGTGTCTGACCATCAGGCAGTTAAGCCCTGAATACAGGCACTCTGGAGAAATCCTGTGTTAAATGAATACAGTTAGCATATGGTTCGCTGGTAGTGTATATATATATGGAAAGTTGTATTCAACAATGTGCACAAAATTATTATCAGTATACAGTGTGTTCCAAAGGATATGATCGAGTCATCGGCATAATTATTAAGACACACTACTTCATGTCTATTTACGTCGTGTGGAATTCATGCATTTATTCATTTAGATTTAACGTGCCGCAATTACGTACTTTTCTAATGATACAATGTATAATTGTTTTAATCCTAAAAACTATAATTAAACAATTACGAAGAAGATTATTTTGCTACAGTTTTTTGAATTTGTTGACGTAGCTTTTCATTTTTATTTTTAATGACATTTATTTACAGTTATGTGTAGACTCAAGTTATAGTGAGACTTATGAAACTGTAGAATAGGAAGACGACTTTACATCAAGCCTATTTTTATTCAATAGAGAGAGGGGGACCGAATTTTGTAGATCCAGAAAAATAATTAAATTAGTATTTATTTAGGGTTAGGTTAGGTTAAGACACTTTCTGGGCCGAGCGCTGAGGCCACATGTCTTACATTTAAGACCCCACCAGCTGCCAGTCTCTAATATAATTATATATATATACTAGCTTGGGAACCCAGCGATACCCAGGTTACTAAAAGTTACTCCCGTCGTTTACCCGCACTTGAACGATTTTACTTAGAAACTAAATTATCGCTATCAAAGTCTATATACTCAATTTAATATCTCAAAATCAGGTTAAGAACATTCCTGTGGGTCTCCCGAGGTCCCCAATCAAAATTTGATGCAAATCGAACCACGGGTTCCCAAATTATGATTTGACAAACAAACAAACAGACAGACACAATCATAGATTACAACTTTATTTTTATAGATATACCAGGGCGCCTGTCTTCTATTTCAACTTTTAATTGTGTCTTTATCTGTGAGCATCTTCTCTTTGCTGATTTCATAATATTTTTTCGCGCATTTTCAAAATTTTACAAAACTAAAAAATTTAAATCACAAAATTTTTAAAATTTTGATCATTCATAAACCTTCCCTGGGGTTACGCGAGATCCCACAAAAAAATTAGGCCCGGTCGGTTTAGCCGTTTTAACGTTTATTGAATACAAACAAACAAACACCCAGACAAGCCAAGTATTTATATATAGATATACTGGATGGATATCATATATGTTTATATTTAAGACATATGTTTTACTCCATTAAATGGTTTAATTGTTACGCAGAAACTATTCAATGTGTATCTAAATGCTCATTAACCAGAAAAAAATAACTTTTTCTTTTCGTTATTCATTTAATGCATGAACATTAAGCAATAGTTTCTATTCTTCAAATCATAATAATGACGAGTCAAAAATCGGATAATCTTAGATTGATTGAAAGATTTTTAAGTTTCAAATTTTTAACTTGATTGACGCATCAAATTAAAGTAAACATAATAATGATCTAATATATTAAATTCAATTTTAATTTAAGGCCGGGTGTGTAAAGGAATAATGAAAGGGGTATAGGCTGAAACCTTAGAATCTTAGGCGTTGAATAATAAATATAAGACATCTATCAGATTTTGTATATGCGTTGTAGTATTAAACAGATATTCAACAAATCACAACCAATCTGAAAACGATGATATCCCACAGAAGTCTGAGAATTTTAGGTTTGCTCCTATTATAATTTTTTGAATTTCATTTTGCATTTTTAATAGATATAATTGATAATATTATTACATATTACGTCACTAGAACTTTATGCAATGGCAGTGCAGTATACTGGTCACGTGATCTATTGAAATGTAATAGTCGTCTTTTTGTTGAACGTGGTTTTTATTTGGAAAAAAACAATAAAAAACTTTTTCCTCCAAAGTGTAGTTTTCGTGACGGAAGTTAATATCTTGATTTCCAATTGAAGATTAACTTGTAACATCAATAAAAGAAATTGCTTTTGGAACTTTTCATGGATATAGCTTTACATGTAAGTAGTAGCTATCGATGGGGTTTTCCACAAAGGATGAGATTGTAATGACGACCTGAAAATCATGTAATAAGACACTATACCTAGGGTCAATTAAGTCTTCTGTCTTGAATTATAGTCTTCTAATGGCTTATTCATTGATTTAACAAAGAAAAAAACTAGTTTACAGTTGCAGAAAACCGTAAAAAAAATTACATAAAATCAAAAATATTAATTTTCTATTTTTATGAAAAGTTGTGTATTTATAAATGTTTTTAGTATTAAACATTCTTGTCCCTTCAATAAAAATTGGGTTGCCCGATGCACAACGGTATCATTGAATCAAAATCTTTATCTAATCAATAATCAATAATAATAATAGCTTCGTTTTTTTTATTTAAAAGCGTTTAATTAAAATAGTTTCTACATAGTTTTCCTGTTGTTGAAATGCACAAGTCATTTTGTAGAAAATAACACAATTGAAAATGATCAGTTTTCAAAATTTTAAACACTGACAGCCTAATCGATACTTGAGCAGACAAAGTTTTTAAGGGAACCCTTGTCAATATGATATTCCACTCTATAAATGGAGGGTCAATCAAAATTACGTTTACAGAACAGCACTTTGGAAATTAGGGCGAAACCTTTAATCTTTGTGAAGCATTTAAGGAGCAGATTTATTTGAAAATCATTAAAAAAAAGGTTACGCCCTTCATTTTTAAAATGCTTGGACAGTTTATCATTCTTAAACAAGTAGGGTTGGAACGTTTTCACCTTAAAGAAAAACTTACTTTTTATTTTAAAACCGATAAAGAAAAAACGAAAACGAAAGAATGTTTTTAAAAATACGATTGTTTTTATAACGATTGTTTTTGAAAAGTTTGTTGTTGATCGTTAACGAAACTAGGTCGTTTTTATTTTTGACGATCGTAAACGACGACCCTTTATTACGACCTTTAACTACGACCCTTCGCTAACGACCGTTAACAACGACCTTCGGTAACGATTGAAAAAAACCGATAGTTTTTCGTTTTTTTAAAGTTCAAAAGGAGTGGTTTGTTTTCAAAAACGATCTTTTTTCTATAAACGAAACGATCGTTTTAAAAACGATTAACAACCCTATCCTTAAGGCCTAGCTTTCACAACCAAATAGATCCGGAAGAAATTTAAAACTCGACTTACGTCTAAACAGCACCTTTGTATGGAAAGAATTGATTGATTGCGCAAAATCAAGGAAGAAATTTTTGTTTTTCTCTTTGAAAATTAATTATTTTTAACCGTGGTTTCTAAAAAAAAATACTTGCCAATTTATGATACATCGAGACATTGAAAGTCTCAAAGTTTAACCCGCTCTAAGATAGAAAACGATGATACCATCATTACCGTTGCTAAGATAGAGGGTACCATTGTGTATCAGACATGCTACTGAATAAATGTCACTCAAGATCCCGTTTACAGATCATTTAATGAGGTTTCATAAAAATGTAATCTATGTAATCTATGGGATGTATTAAATCTATGTAATCTATGGGATGTATTAAATGTATGACACGGTCCCTGATTCTGTCACAATATTTGATATCGTATTTATTAATCAATTTATCAAACTAAATCAACGATACACATTTTGTTATATATCAAACCTTAACGTCTAACTAGCTATTCTGATAGCAGAAACCCTAAATTTTTTGAAGTTTCCGGCGTTGCCAGTGGAATTTAAAAATAAAATCTAATCTTGTAAAATAAAATCTTTATTTTAGTCAATGATACCCAAAGGGTACCCATGGGTTCCCTAAAAAAAATCAGTCAATTCGGTTCGGCCGCTAGGCCAGCTATAGCTAACATATGTAGAAATATACACATATTTATATATATATATACCCAGTGCATTTCCAAATTACAAACATTGTGCTTGAAATCATAATCGTTATTTCTACATGCTATCTGTATGGTCGAAACAAAATCTTCTTTTTCAATTAATAAACTTTTTATCCAAGTAGGGAGCAATAATTCTTCTTTGATGAGAAGTCCTCAAGTTTCTCCTAAAATCAAGAATCATGCTGGGTTTAATTGTTATTTGTTACAAAACTACAAGAGCTAGTTAATTGAAAGTGACATTTTTCTTTTCCGTATTTCCTTTTTTATTTAATAATTCTCTTCACTCATCTGTATATATTTGTGTGTATATGTTTCTTTATATGTTAGCTATGGCTGGCCAAACGGTTGGACCAAACGGGCTGAATTTTTTAGGTAACCCATGGGTACCCTGTGGAAAACACAGGCTAAACTTATTTCACAGACAACGCCAGGCAATTCAGCTAAAAATGTCAAAAAATGTCGGAAAAAATGTTTTTGACAAATATTTACATGTTTTAATATCTTTTTTAAGAGCTTTTTGAAATTGTTACTTTATAACTGTACTCAATCCCAAGCATTAAGAAACATATTTTCAAAAACTGTCTTTCAACTAGGGTTTGCAGCGAAAAGGAAAAATCGAATTTCGCATATTTCCCGAGAACAAATGGTCGCGAGAATTTTCGCATTTCTTTTGCTCGAAAAAAATGCGAACATTTTTGCGAAATTTCGCTTCAATCTGTTTCGCGAAAAAATGCGAAATTTTCGAGAAAAAGAAAATGCAGATAATTTCGTTTGCTGCAAACCCTACTTTTAACCTTTGTAAGAGCAAAATATTAGATAAAACAATGGATCTTTTTATGAAACTATTATTAAATCAATTTTTTTCCAGACTGATTCCAGAAAATGGTTTTATTATGAAGATTATGAAGATAAAATACTAAATCTGAAAGGTAAAACTTATTATTATTTGTTCATCCATTCATTATTAAACTAATCGAAACACAAATTTACTTTTCAAATATTTTATTTTCTTATTTCTTAAGTTGAATTAATTTAACAGATAGAAGCAACTTTTCAAAATATAACAAGTCAAAGAAAAAATTGTTCATTTAAATTCGTTTGAATGCCATTCTCTTAAATTTCATTTCTGAATATTCCGAATATTATTAATATAAAGAACCTTACTAAAAAAGTGAAAGTAAAAAAGTTCAAATGAAGGGTAAAAGGATACCCTTGAGATTTGGACATACTCTGTATAAATGAAGGGTTACACAAAATCACGTCATCTAAGACGCATTATTAGCAATTAACCGCGATTAACGTCCATTTGAAAGGATAGGGTGGTAGGCAATTATATCAATATAATAAAGACTACTTTTGATTTCAATTTTGATTCATATCATGCTTTTTAAACAGTGTGGATGCACAAAAACATGGAAACACGAAAAGGTTGTTAATAAAAAAACTTTTCTTTAATTACTTGTAAACTTGTATTCGAAAAAAGCTTGCTAACAATAAAAACTTAAATAAAAAAGTCGTTTTCATTATAGAAATAAAATAAAAAAAACATTGTTTTACGCAGACATTTTGAAGAATACCCAATAAAAAAATAAAAACTTAAAATTTAGCAATTAACCCTATCTCTGCTGGGGTACTTGAAAACAAGGATATGCTGGGGGGGGGGGTCAATTTGACCCCCCCCCTCTAAATCCCATGTTTGATGTCCAAATATGACAAATGGTACATCATTGAAAAGCTCTTGTGCTCTGCTTTTAGAATCTGCAAAAAAATTTGCAAATTTACAAAAATTGAATTTTTTATCGCAAAATCCAGTCATAAAGTAAAAATGTTTGCAAAAAAAGATTTGTCCAAAAAATGAAAAATTATACATTTTTGAAAAGCCCTTGACCATGCCATTTCAAATATGCAAAAAAATTTGCAAACTTTTAAATAACCTGATTTTTAATCAAGAAAAACTAAAAATGTGCAAATTTCCTTTGACAGGTTGTTTGCAAAAAATTTGCAATTTTTTTTTGCAAAACTTGTGCAATTCGTTTCCTTTTGTCAAAAAAAGTCAGAAAATTTCAACAGCCTCAGACCAATACTTTTTGAGTTATGTAAAAAAAACTACAGGGGGGGGGGTTCAAATTGACCCCCCCCCAGCAGGAATAGGGTTAACTGCGAATCGCGATAAGCGATCAATAAATTAAAACCCGAGAAAAAATTTGTTTTAACTTAAAATTATCAACCTGAGCTTGAAACTTTAGAATGGTGGATATCGAGATCAATGCTTGATCATCTCTCTTTCTTAATCTCGAGACTAACCTAATCTTGTAACTTATGTCCTGAAATGTGTATAAAAATCAACCAATCAAAGTTATTATCAGAAACGGGAGGGATTCTCTAATTTTGAAAAACCGGTGTTTTCTTTTCTGTTCTATATCCAAAAAAGTGGATTAAGGAAGAAATTAAAAGTGTCCACATTGAATATTCGGATTAAGTAGTCGAGATTAAAGGTATCCCATTCTAAAGTTCTGCAGCTCTGATCATTTATCTAACATTTCTGAGTTTAACACTGAGTTTATTACATCTTTATTTTTAACGAAAAAAATATAGTTTTGATTATTTTTTTGAAAGATTTTAAGATGAATATCTATAAGCTATTCTATGCTTAAGATTTAATTTTACCAACTGATGAATATCGGCTGTCCATTGTCCCCAGTTTTGATCATGTGGAATCAGTTTAGTCAAATAAGACTAAACATTTTTTTTCCTTTTTTTAATCCAAAAAAATAGAATTCAATATTTTCTCTCCCATTTTTGATTTTTGACAAATAAATTTCTTGTTAAATTTTGATTTAGAAAGAGAGGCAAGAAAACCAAAATGGTGGTTTCCGGTTCCCAATCCAAGATGGCGGATTCCAGTTCCAAATTCAAGATGGCGACTTGTCCTGGCTCAACTAGAAGTCTTTTATTCACTACATTATTGCTTTTAACATTAACAGGTGAAATAAATAACAAGTGAATCACTTTTTAATTCAAATTCGACAAATTGGATATGATGGATATGATGTTTTTTCCAGTAATTGTAAAAATTCATGAAGTAGATAATTGGATTAAATGTAAACATTATGAAATATCAATATGTACACGTGCATGCATGAAAATAGAAAGATCAAAAGTAATTGTAAATGCTTGTTGTTCGTCAAAAAAAATGATTGGTTTTATTAGGAAATATTTTTAGATAAATAAATCTACGAACTTATCCCATTAGTGACAATTATAGGTCATTTTCGATAAAATTAATTTGATATTTGGTAAACTAGTTTTGTTATGGTGGTATTCGTTTTCGTCGTAAGCTTTTCTATTCTCTACGGCCTAGCATTTTTGCTGTAGCACCAGATTTTATTTGTTTGTTTAGGTCAATAAATTAGGACCTCTCATAGAAAACACATAGAGTTTCTGAAAAAAAAACATTCAATTAACCTCTAATTTTTTTCTTTTTATGTATATTAAACAAGTTGTTTGTAAGGATTTTCTATATATTTTTTACATTGAAGAATTTTGATTCAATTAAATGCATTTATCAATTTTTTTGTGTGAAAATGTTACAGGTCGTTTTTTGACCTTTCCGGACCAGCCAAAATAGGCCCAAGTCGAAACGACCTATACTGGGATCAGCTGTTTTTGACCTACGATAGTTTAGATGCACAATTTGACCAAAGAAACAAATGTATGGGTTTACTGATAAATGAATATGGTATAAAATCAATTTTTATGCTCAGTCAAATGTTTATTGAATTGCCCCAAACCCTCCTGGTGTTAATTACGCAACCTCGGCGATTTCCTAAAGACCTTAAGATAATATAGACATCTACCGTGCTGTATTTCCTCGGGCCTGACCGGAGGATCCTCTACTCTCGCTACTCGTCATAATCAATCAAAGACAGGATAGCATCAAGTTTTATTGACGGCACAGATCTTCAATCTAACAATAAAACTTGTATAAGTCTACAGAAAAGCTTTGAGAATACAATTCAACAATATATCATCCATACAAAATCATAATCTCAGGCGTTAAAAACTGTAGCTTTGCTAGGAAATATACGAAAATGAACATACGAAACACAAAGAATGCATTTAAATATTTAAAAGACATATTTACCACATTAGTCCTCCAAATTTAGCACGATAATCAGTAAATATATCACATGAATACAAGTTTACAATAATACTGGAAAAAACTGAAAAGAACAACACACGCGAGTTTCTTGCTCATGCGTAGACAGATGAATTCGCCGGCAAGAATAGGTTTCATCTCCAGCAGCTTCATCTTGAAAGCAGGGGTGAATAGTGGAACAACAGGGGTGCATTATAGACTTCATGACGAAGCATGTGCTTGCGTAACACCTAGAAACTATATTTGCCAAGCTTGAACCACCGCAAAAAATCATGTTTATGAATATAAATATAATTTACATTTAGAAGTTATGTTATGTACAATTATCACCCACAAAGGATGAGAGTTTAAAGATGACTGTACAGCATTTATGAAGCCTTTTTCTGTTTATGCTAATCCTGTTTGAAGGGTTATGTAGAAAGAATGAGACTCAGCTACAGTAAAATTATTGCAATTTACAATCGTCATTGTTTGCTGCAGGTGAACATTTTTCTTCTTCTTCTTGACAAGTTGACATCATACATGCCATACAGGGTTATCCACAAAGAATGAGACTAGAAAATGAACAGTATAAAGTGGTGAAAATTTTATTGAAAGACAGCTTTTGAATAAATTTACATAATGAGAACATTACAGATAGGACATTTAAAAAAACGGAACACTTCATAGAATAGGAGAGGAGATGTCATGCAGAGATGACCATAAAACAGTGGATTCACTCTTGTCTCCAAACTTAATTATGAAATGTTGCTATAAATGGTTTTTAGTTTCGTGGAGCGGAATTCCGATTTGAAACACTAGTTACATGCAAAAGACTTTTTCTCTTATATTTTTAAACGAAAACATAGAATGTATAAATATTACAATTGAAATCTTCTTAATGGGTAGCGCTGTTATTTGTTTGTATGATTATTGATTCATCGCTTAACCCATCACCCCTTTATGCCGAGTCCATCAGCGCCTGATCCAATCAGGGTTCAGTCATGTGGTTAATGTCTATTTTGAACCAATAGAAATAGTTTGGTGGCAACATCTATCTTTCTATCTATCTCATTATAAAATCAGAGCTTTGAATCCTTCAGTCGGTGCTATCAGTAAATGGAAATATTTACTTTTACTGAAACTATTGTGATACTTGGATATTTATGATACTGTAAAAGTATTTTGAAAAGTATGTAGGTAGGTAGGCTAAATATTTTCTTAATTCCTTCTTTACCAAAATTGAGCATTTTTTTATAAAAGATTTAAGTAAAGATGTATAAAGTCCATAAAATGTACTGTTATTTGGTCAAATTATTTATCTAAACTATTGAAAGTATATTTCGGCTGGGCCGGAAAGGTCTAAAATGACACTTTAAAAAAAACTTTTTTTCTGATCATTCTAGAAAAACGCGGTTAGCAAATTGTTTTAGAAATGTTTAAGGATGAAACTGTTATTCCAATTTATATCAACAGAGGGCCTCGTCGGCACTTTTGGGTTATTGTAATTTATAACAAGTTAAAATTAGAGCATAAAAAACCGAAATTTAGCAAAATAATTTTTTCGTATTTCGCAAAACTTCGCATAAATAAATTTTGAGAAAGGAAGCGCAAACAATGCGGAATTTCGCAAACAAAAATTTGCGACATTTCTGCGAATCCAAAAATGCTAAATTTTCCACAAAAAAAAGAAAAGATTTTTCCATTTTGTAGGAAAGCCTACGTAGAACCTATGTATTTTTGAGAATCGATGTTCTGTTAAGGATACTATAATAAACACTCTAAAGTTGCTCTAAAGGTTTTAAGTCTTTGCCATGAAACTCTGAATTTCGAATCCCCATATCTTTGCAACCCGATACTGTAGACCTTTAATATTTCAATTCTCAATTCTGTAAATTGTGCTAGATCAGGTTACAAAGATGTGGATTTGAAAATTTGAGTTTCTGGCAAAAATTCAGTTCCTTTCTCTTTTTCTAAAATGTTCAAGCTTTTAGAAATAGCTAGAACAAAATAGTTTTAATTGGAGGGAGTGTTAAAAATCAATTTAATTTTAAACAAATCTTTCGGATATCACAAACAATATTCCTGTTTCGAGTATTTTTGATAATGAAGACGACATTTTCATATTTACCAGGAATGTTCGAAAATTCAGCGCCAGCGAAATATTATTTTTTAAAAAATCAAGATAAAAGTCGGATTATATTAGTAGCGATCAAAAGCGCTTATTTTTCGCCGTAAGCCTATACCCCCTTTCATTTTTCGCGAACACTTCGTTTAAAAACATATTTGTTTGTAACAAATTAATTAGTATTGATATGTCGAACCAGTTCAAACCACTCTTAAACATTTAATTAATGCTTTCATCAAATCTAATCTTTGAAATGTAAGCTTGAGGAATTATCTATAAGTTTCCATTAGTTTTCAGTACTTTGCATTCATTAAAATTATGTAACCCTCTTTTCCAATATTTCTACTTTAATTCTTATTCTATTTATATGTTTATGTACCATCTTCCATTTAGATGCATGTTTATGTACCATCTTGTATTTAAATGTTTGTTTATGTACCATCTTGAATTTATATGTATGTTTATGTCCCATTTTGAAATTGATATTTTTTTTGTACCATGTTGTATTTAATCGTATGTTTATGTACCATCTTGTATTTAAATGTATGTTTATGTACTATCTTAAATTTATTTGTATGTTTATGTACCATTTTGTAATTCATCCGTTTATGTACCATTTTGTATTTAATTGTATATTTCTGTACAATCTTGTAATTAGATGTATTTTCATGTACCATCTTGAATTTATATGTATGTTTATGTACCATATTGTAATTGATATGTTTATGTACCATGCTGTATTTAATTGTATGTTTATGTACCATCTTGTATTTAGGTGTATGTTTATGTACCATCTTGTATTTATATGCATTTTTATGTACCATCTTGTATTCAGATGTATATTTCTGTACCATCTTGTATTTAGATGTATGTTTAGGTACCATTGTGTATTTAGATGTATGTTTATGTACCATTTTGTATTTAGATATATTTTTATGTACTTTCTTGTATTTAGATGTATGTTTATGTACAAACTACGGTACATATATTGGAAGCTTGGAGGACACTGTACCCGGTGTGGCTGGTGACCTATACGCCGTTGATAAAACAACAATATTCATTTCAAACATGTCCTTTCCAACCTTGGGCTCAGGTAAGCTTGTCTTTTCTAACTTCGGGCTCAGGTAAACTTGTTTTTTCCAACCTCGGGCTCAGGTAAGCTTGTCTTTTCTATCCTCGGGCTCAGGTAAACTTGTTTTTTCCAACCTCGGGCTCAGGTAAACTTGTTTATTTCCAACCTCGGGCTCAGGTAAACCTGTCTTTTCCAACCTCGGGCTCAGGTAAGCCTGTCTTTTCCAACCTCGGCTCAGGTAAACTTGTTTTTTCCAACCTCGGGCTCAGGTAAACCTGTCTTTTCCAACCTCGGGCTCAGGTAAGCCTGTCTTTTCCAACCTCGGCTCAGGTAAACCTGCCTTTTCTCAGCTCAACACTTGCCTCAAACTCAAATCTAACCTTGGTTAAAATCTGATTTTTTAGACCGTTTATATTTCTCAGTTTTCTTTCTGCTAAATCAAACTTAAAAATTTTAACATAGTTGCGACGATATTTCAAGATTAGAAAAATAGACTGTTAGGCGAGTGTTCAAAGCTGGAAACTTTTGAATCGGTTAATTAACCTGGAGATTAATAGCAAGAGGAGAACAAGCATTAATTAATCTTGAGATTAAGAAAGAGAGGAGATCAAGCATTTATCTCGATATCCACCATTCTAAAGTTGTCAGCTCATGTCAAACTTTTTTCTAAAATTGGCATCAAAATTCAAATTCCCTTATCTCACGCAAATATCAATTTTTTAGGTAGAAAACCTCTTTAGTTTTATACCGCCTTCTGACCAACATTACAGACCCAGGATTACCTCAACAGAGGGGGGTTAAATCACTTTACGTCCCTTGCTACAGTTATGTAAAATAACCACTACTTTTTCGTGAAATTAATAATTTTACTTAACCACGGGTTCCCTCAACCCATTTTGTCTAAAGAACATCCCTCGCTGCGCTCTGGATTTTTTGTAAAATTGGTCTTGGGAACCCCTTGTAAAGTAAAGTTTTCGTAACTTCCCTGTAAAGTAGTCGTGAATAATTAATATGAAGGGTCACTTGAATTTACACTAACCAAATTCAAGAATCCTAGAAAAAAATTGATTTGAATGTGTTTCTTTGGGAGTTTCAAACCATAGTATCGGATGAAATGTAAAATACTTATTTATTGTAGGAACATTTATGTACGCTGGTACTTTGAACCCAGACGGTTCGTACACTAAAACTGGCTATCCACTTACAAACTTGGAAGGAGTGTAAGTATCTGATAATGTATCTGATAATGGCATTGTCTGTTTGGACTATTTTTGTGGCCTCATCTGTGGCTCATGCCTTGATAAGAGTATTTTTTTTTAATTTAAACAAGCAACTTTTTTAAATAAAGAAAAAAAGAATGAATGCCTGAAAGGATTCTGAGCAAAGTGTGGAAATTATCGGATTTAGCATTTTGTTTGATGATGCTTGGTCTTACAGTAAATTGGGTTTTCTCACCGGAACCAGCCAAATATTTTAGCAAAAAGTTTTAATTTAGAAAAGAAAAAACTGCAATACTGCTAGCACAGTAATACTCCACAAAGAAAGACAAACAATAAAATCTCATGTATACAAGTCTGAGCTATGTACAAAAAATTTAACTCAGTTAGTAAATGTAAAATCAAAGGCAAAAGGAGTATGTTGCGATAGTTCAAAATTAACCTGCAGGTTTAGAAAATTGATGCATCACCGTAATAGTTTCTAGATTTGTGTGTGCTATGTACATTTAATTTTTCATGTGTTGAGTTCAGACAGCACACTGCGCAGACCGGAAATTTAAGCTGAATACAAACCGGTTTCGATAAGTTTAAACACGAATATCTCTGTACTCGACGAACATTGCCCTCTTAGCATGCAGGATCACTTGAAATTAAACTTACATACAATCCCTTTAGAGGAATGGTTCGCCAATCTTGAAATATGGATGGAAAACTTATCACAATTCTTTTTCCAGCAAATTATTTGACTTCATAGAAAGTAGTATTATTAATGCTAATTCGGTTGCCAAAACGAACTTGAGTATAATAGCTAGTTATGTTTAACTGTTGTAAATGCCGTACTTTTAAAAGTTCGTCCCGCAAACTGCATTAGTCCAGAAACAACCAGTCCACTATCCAATTAAACCAGGATCCAACCCATCTGACTCTAAATGCCACACAGGGACACAAGCTTAGCTTATCAATTTAGCTATTACCCAGGCTCTAAATGCCACAAAGGGACACAAGTGTAGCTTTCAACAAGCTATTACTTCGGCTCTTTACCACACAAGGGTACAAACGTAGCTATCAACAAGCTATATATCGGTCCCAAAAGTCCAGAGTGCAGGGAGGTATGTTTTTTAGACAAAATTGGTCGAGGCAACCCGGGGTTAAGTAAAATTTTGAATAACCAAAAAAGTATTTGTAAATATTTTTTTATGAAAATGAGCTTATTTTTTCCCAAAAACCTTGAAGAGACGTTAATTAACTTAACCTTTCTCTAATGGGGTAATCATAGGTCGTTAATGTTGGTCAAAAGGCGATAAAATAAAAAGTAATTGCAACATTTTTTTTAAAATTTAAATTTTTAGAGGAGAAGAGTTGAAGGGAGATAAATCTACAATTCTTCTCTCTTTTCCTCAGGTATTATTTAAAATAAACATTTTTTAAAATTAGTTTAATCCGTTCAGACATGCTAATTTAGATTAGGATTTAACATATTCATTAGTTTACAGGTCAGTAGAGATTAGGATTAAACATATTCATTAGTTCACTAGTCACTGTAAAGTCTATAGAGCTGCTGACTATAATTAAATAAACAATATAATCCACTTATAAGAACAACTCAATTTTTAAAAGGGATGCTTTAGACCTTCATTCTTAATATTGCTTTTTACATTTACTATTTACATTTACTATTTACATTTACTATTTACATTTACTATTTACATTTACTATTTACATTTACTATTTACATTCCCGCAAATAAGCCATAAAATTAGCTAAGAGGAATAAAAATATAGGTAAATTATAAATATAATTAGCTAAGTGAAATAAAAATATAGGTAAATTATAAATAAAATTAGCTAAGAGGGATAAGAATATAGGTAAATTATAAATATAATTAGCTAAGAGGGATAAAAATATAGGTAAATTAAAATTATAATTAGTTAAAAGAGAGTTAAAAATATAGGTAAATTATAAATATAATTAGCTAAGAGGGATAAGAATATAGGTAAATTATAAATATAATTAGCTAAGAGAGATAAAAATTTAGGTAAATTATAAATATAATTAGCTAAGAGAGATAAAAGTATAGGTAAATTATAAATATAATTAGTTAAGAGGGATACAAATATAGGTAAATCATAAATATAATTACCTAATAGGAATAGAAATATAGGTAAATTATAAAAATAGCTAGCTAAGAGAGATAAAAATATACTTAAATTATTTATAACTTTAATTTTGATTCTTAGCTTTTAAACTTTCAGGGAAAATCCATTTATGCTGTAGACTGGATAGGAATGTTAGATCGAAAAAATCAGGTAGAAAAACTCTACACTCAACACTCTACATTTTACACTCTATACTCTACACTCTACACTCTACACTCTACACTCTACACTCTACACTCTACATTCTACACTCTACACTCTACACTCTACACTCTACACTCTACACTCTACACTCTACACTATACACTCTACACTCTACACTCTACACTCTACACTCTACACTCTACACTCTATACTCTACACTCTAATATGTTTAGAAAATGATTGGCCGAGTTCTTGTATCAGACAATGTAAAGTTGAATATACCTAGACCAAGACAACTTGGACCTTTACAGGTTAATTAAAATATTAATTCATGTAGTTTAGATTCATTAACTAGTTTAGGTTACCAGCGAAATAGCGAAAACGTTTCGCGAACAAAAATTTGTTCGCCAAAAATTTTCTATTTTTTCGCATTCTAGGCGTAGAGAAAATATGCGAAAATTTTCCGAAAAATTAAAAACAATTTCGTTTTTTACGAAAAATTTTGCAAATTGTCGCATAATTTTTCGCTTCCTTTCGCAAAATTCATTTTTTGCAAAAAATGCTCAATTTTGCGAATAAGTTTGCGATTTACCAAAGGAAATTTTTTCGCGAAAATTATCGTTTGCTGTCTAGATTTAAAAGCGTTAAACTCTGATAAATCCTGCAGACAAAGAACGAAATCTAGTTTTTTAAGTAAAAAGTCAAAAATTGCAAATAATTTTAAACGTTAATATCTAATTCATACTTGATCAGACAAAGCTTTTAAATGTACCCTTGTAAATCTTTGCATGTCGAGAGTCACTTGATAATGGGCTAACAGTCCCTTTAAACTCGACTCTATTTTAGGGAAAGGGAGAGGCGACAGCTTCTGACGTCATAATTTTGGATTCTCGATCAATTCTTCTTCAAGATTTTACTTTTTCAGGAGAAATTTCAGGTTATTGTTGAAACATTTACGTGATGAGTAGTGTGTCTTGGGGGGTGGGGGGGAGTACATATTAAAAGGAGGGAAATTTTACCGGGGATGGGTTAACAAATGTCGGGTTATTCGGGTAATTATTAACTGATTGCCTAGATTTAAATAAAAAATTACCTTTTTGGTTCTGTATTAGAATTTACATGATAATATTTCCTAGACACATACTTCATGATTGGAAAAGGCGGTAAACCGTCGCCATTTGGGACACAAGTAACAGAGGAGTCCGGCTCACTAGCGCCACTTGGAAAGTACCGACAGAAATCAGTAATTCTAAACCTACCGCCTACAATAGATGTCTCTGAGATCGACTGGTTTTCTATTTGGTCTCAAAGCCTTCAGAGTAGCCTAGCAGAGGTGACATTTCTAAAAAACGATTTTTAGCAAAGACTGGAGACCCCAAGGACTTATTTGTAGACTCCCAGATGTTCACTAAAGCCCCCCGCCCCCAGATCTCTATGGAAAATTGAGGGGGCTTATCAAAAAGTTTGGGGTCTCCAATGCAGAGCCCGGGGTCTCCGACGAAAACTTTGGGGTCTAAAATTAAAATCTGGGGGTCTCCAAAGAAAATGGGGGTCTCAGATGAAATCTTGGGGGCTTTAATGCAAATCTGAGGTCTCCATGAAAATTTGGCGTCTCCCCAATGAAAGAAGGTTTCGGATATTACTCTCTTAACGATAATTTCTTCCCAGACCTGGGCTCCAAGGTAATTTTCCAATTTGATTAGATTGAAATTCCACGCGTTCTGAACGTGCCTCCTTCAAGGAAGCTTTTAGCCAATCTTCCCCAGGTAAAATTTTATAAAAAAATAATTTTAACAACTCATACAAATTTTGAAAATAAAAAATAAACTTTTAACAGATCAAAACATAAAAAAACTAAAAATTTACTTATAACCAACCCTCCCCAGATAAGATTCGAAGTAAAAAGTAATTTTAACAACTCAAAAAAAAAATATTTTTTTTAAAAACTAAAAAATTTCAGGAAGAATTAAATTGTGAAGTGCTTGCTCCAGAGTTAGGATTACAACTCAGGTAAAATATTTTAAAGTAACTCCGTTCATAACATAAATATCAGGAATAATCAATATTTACTTTTTTATAAATCACTTAACCACTAGGGGTGCATACACAGTACACACCTTAAGAAAAATATTGAAGTAAAAAATTTCAATATCGTCCATAATATCTATAAATTCTGATCAGAAGATTAAAAGGCCTTAAATTCCTGACATTTTTTGTTGAAAAATTGCATTTTATATTTCCTTTTTTTGGAAATATATTGCTGAATTTAAATCTGAAACTTAATGAGTTTTCATAAATACCCAAAAACATTCTTTATTTTTTTTTTAAAGCGGGGTTTTGGACTGTTTTTGGATTTCAAATTCAGATTTGTATTAAACTACAAGCATATATAATATATAAACAATAACAAGTCACTATAAAGTCTGGACCCGCCTAACCATTAAAGGAATTTTGTTAAAATAGAAAATCTTTTATACATAAAAAAACAAAATTATACTTTATGCAAAAAAGCTTTTCCCTTTTTTAGATGGACTATTGTTGGAGAAAGTATACTGCTGCAGATAGAGGGAGATATAGGTAAAATGAAGGGACTGGAGGCGTAATTGACCCTCCATGCATGCAAAGAGGGTAATGTGGAGTGGAGTGGAATAACTCAAAACATAGACTTTATATGTTTAAGCTAGCTGTGGAACCCAGCGTTGCCTGGAACCTAACCATCAAAAATGGATGCAAATCATTCCAAGGGTTAGATTACAGAGTTATGATCGGACATACAAACAAAGAGACTTTATATTAAAACAAACTTGAGAACCCAGGGTTGCCCATGGTACTCGTTGTTACTTTGCATAATATTGTATCTAATATTATATGTATGTATTCAGGAAGTGATATGTACATGGCATTTGGAGTAAAGACTGAGGACTCTGATTTAAACACTGGGAAAACTCAGGTAACCCATATTTTTGAATTCCCATCAGAGCCGCTAATTTAAGAGAGTATTGCAGAATACAACTTCCGAGTTTCCTTTTTTGGGATCTTTGCAATACATTTGCGTAGATTTAAATTTAAATAATCAAAACAAAATAAAATTAAAGAAACTACAGAAAATAATATCTCTAGACAAAAATATTGGTATCTACAAAACTGCTTGAAACCGGTTTTCCGATACTGGGTTTCATTACAATAATCTGACTTAAGTTACAGGCTCTGGTGGTGTAAACTATATACTATTGTTGACGGAAAACAGCAACACGCTAGACAAATCAGGATAATAGGCCAGTTAGGATTCTGGTGGGGGATGTTTATTTTCCCCGGACAATTCTTTCCCGATAGGCCGCACAAATACACACAACAGAGTAACCCCGTCTCAGAAATTCGATAACAAAATCTTTATTTCCTAAAAAATAACATAAATTATAGGTCATGGTTACTTGTACAATGTTATAATGAATGTTAATAGTAGAAAAAATCTTACGAATTATTTAAGGATGGTCGGGGGTGACTTATTGTTGATCAGTATTGAAATACGTTTTTTTAACTTCTGAAAAATTACAGTTGAATATTTAACGAAATTCACTAATGCTTCTTATGAAAATATTTTGCTTAACTTTAATGATTTCACAACAACGAAATATTTTAAGCTCCGTCGGAGGAGTACAAAGGGAATTGCGGGCTGAAAATTTGGTTTGGCTGTCTCCGAGAGGAGATTCAAGTTGAAGACGACATTTTACAGAGGTCTTAAATTAATGGTTAACAACTATATAAAAAAGGAAATGTTATTTTTTATCAAACTAGCTTAGACTTTGAACTTATTCACGAATATACGCCGATTATACCCCTTAAAGGGAGTGACCGGCTATGTAAGGTTGTTGAACTGAGTATGCAGTGTTGTGGAAAACTTCTTTCGGATTCATTTGAGACATATTAATTTTTTTAAGATCTGTAAATCCTAAGTTTGAGCGCAAATTCGACGTTCAAAACTCCTACTTTGAGGGTGGATACGCTTTCAGAATTAGTTTTTTTTAACTATTAAAATTATTTAATTAATAAAAAGCTGGAAGCTTAACAAAAACTTTTTTTGATTAAAATATGCATTAAAGAATCCTTTATTTAACAGTTAACACATTTTCACCAATTTTAAATCTTTTGGAAAATAACATTGCTATCTTTAAACATATTTTAATCATATTTCTTTAGTCTCAAACACTTGATACCTTGATGTGTTAAAGTTCATTTAACATGTTTAACATCCAACTACATATTATTCTTAAAACTAGTTAATTCATTTAATTTAAAGAATAAATATTCTTTGTTTATCTTGGAGAAGTTTCTTTAAATTGTTTTGGAGTTTTCTCCTGAAATGATGTATAACTCTTTATAAACAACTAGAAAACAATGGACACAAAGGAATTTATTAAAGGACAACTTCTCGAAAAAAATAGTCTGGCCTGTTTTGTTTAAGCTTTGTGAATGTAAACTTATTCCAAGAAATATTCTCTGCATTGTTGAACTTTCAAAAATTTAAAGTTTAAAAAAACAAACTTTAGGCACACAAACCTCCGGGTTCATGTTTTTTAGATAACAAATCAGCCACGGTAATTCAGATGTCCTGCATTGTAAATATAAAACGTGAATTTATTACCAAAATAATTGCACTTATCAATATTTTTAAAAATAGATTTTTTAAAATCTTTCGAATAGTAGGACATTTTTTTATTTTTATTAACTTGTCAAATATAAATGATAAATAAATAAACAGAAATTATTTGAACTAATTTGAAAAATAAATATCTTTAATATTTGAAATTTACAATTATTTTTATTTATGTACGATGGTTTGATGTGCAGAGTCTTTTCTTAATACTTTTTTTTGGCTGATATTACGGCAGATATACAAATTTTAGACATTTTTTGGAAAAATCAGCGTAATCTCGGTTTTCATATTTATAAATTGTTTTAAATCTCTAGATTATCAGTCAATAAACACGTTTAAGCTGGCGATTCACAACAATATATATGGATTTTCTAAAAGATTTTAACGGATTTTCAAGTATTAAATTAGACAATTTCAATATTTTCTTGATAAAATATATCTAATGATGATGATTAACATTTATATATATGATAGGGTGATGTAGTTGTTGGTTGGATAAAATATATATAAAATGATGATGATTTACATTTATATATATGATAGGGTGATGTAGTTGTTGGTTGGATTAATACTGGAACAGGGAAGGGTGGAGTGGACGACTATTTTCTATCTGGAAAAGATCCTTGCGCTGATGGGGCAGAGAGCTGTCCAGATACAACCAAACAGGTAGATATACAACCAAACAGATAGGTAATATAACAAAACAGGTAGAAAATACAACCAAACAGATAGGTAATATAACAACACAGGTAGAAAATAAAACCAAACAGATAGATAATACAACCAAACAGGTAGATAATACAACCAAACATATAGGTAATATAACAAAACAGGTAGATAATACAACCAAACAGGTAGATCATACAACCAAACAGGTAGATAATACAACCAAACAGATAGGTAATACAGTAAAACAGGTAGATAATACAACAAAACAGATTGGTAATATAACAAAACAGGTAGATAATACAACCGAACAGGTAGATAATACAACCAAACAGATAGGTAATACAAAAAACAGGTAGATAATACAACCAAACAGATAGGTAATATAACAAAACAGGTAGATAATACAACCAAACAGATAGGTAATAAAACAAAACAGGTAGATAATACAACCAAACAAATACAATATAAAAAAACAGGTAGGTAATACAACCAAACAGTTATATAATACAAACAAACAGGTAGATATTACAACCAAACAGGATACACACAACCAAACAGGTAGATAAATGCACGAAAAAACAGGTAGATAATACATCTAAACAGGTAGATAATACAACCAGACAGATAGGTAATATAACAAAACAGGTAGATAATACAAACAAACAGATAGGTAATAAAACAAAACAGGTAGATAATACAACAAAACAGATAGGTAATATAACCAAGAAGGCAGATAATACTACCAAAAATGTAGATAATACAACCAAACAGGTAGATGATTAATACAACCAAACAAAACAAAATATAAATTTAAAAAAGTGTTTTTAACCCGCATAAATTATTTGCAATTTTAAAATAAAACACTTGCATAAACATGAACATACAATTTCACTTTATACATCTTTTATTAGGGTAGTATATGCTAAGAAGAAGAATGTTACACAAACGTAAAAAGAACATTTTAACATTTGTTTATTTAAGAAAGTTTAGCCCGGAAAAGTTTTATTATTAAAAAAAGCATTGTAGTAAGCGTATTTTCAAGTGACCCTTCATGCAAAGATGGCAATGCCTGAATCGATTTACAACGGTACCCTGAAAAGCGGTGTCTGATCAAGTATAAATTAGAAATCAATGCTTATGATTTTGGAAAAGTTTTATTATTAAAAAAAGCATTGTAGTAAGCGTATTTTCAAGTGACCCTTCATGCAAAGATGGCAATGCCTGAATCGATTTACAACGGTACCCTGAAAAGCGGTGTCTGATCAAGTATAAATTAGAAATCAATGCTTATGATTTTAAGAACGGATTATTTTCAAATAGGAATCTTTAGAATTAAGCACTTCAAGCAAGAAAAGCGACAATATCAAATTTTTTCAAGAAACCCTCCATGCAAAGATGGCAATGCTCGATTCACAGTGGTACCCTTAAAGGGAGTGACCGGCTATGTAAGGTAGTTGAACTGAGTATGCAGTGTTGTGGAAAACTTTTTTTGGATTCAGTTGAGACATATTACACTTTTTATAGATATGTAAATCCTGAGTTTCAGCGCAAATTCGACGTTTAAAACTCCTACTTTGGCGATAGATAATCTAATTCTGAAAATGTATCCACCCCCAAAGTAAGAGTTTTGAAGGTCGAATTTTAGCTCGAACTCAGGATTCTGAATCTGAATCTGAATGAATCTGAAAGAAGTTTTCCACAACACTGCATACTCAGTTCAACTACCTTACATAGCCGGTCACTCCCTTTTAAAACCTTGTCTGATCAAATGGATTATATATATAGTTTATAACTTTAAAAACGGATTATTTGAATAGGAATCATCAGAATTAAACACTCTTTAAACTAGAAAACGACAATATCTTAGTCGTAATTGATCAGAAAGAGGGCAAGGGTACCGTTGTGAATGGTGCATTGACATTACTGAATGACATTATTATACTTCTAGGGAGGTATGAAGAACGTAGAACTGCTAAACACTATTTCAAGAAAAAACTACACAATGATCACTTTTAAAAGGTAATAAAAAACAATATTTTAAAAATGGCAAAAAACAAGATTAAATCATATTTTTTTCAATATAATCAATATCTCATATACTTCAGAAATTATGTTTTATCCAAATATTTATTTCTTCAACTGATGTTGAAGAGTTAAAATATCAAAATTAAACAAAATTTCAAAATTCACGCCTTAAAAAGTACAAAAATATATTCTTTTAAATTACTGAATAATTTCAAGGAGCCCCCTCCCGCCCCCCACCCCCAATTATAGAGTGTCATGTCCAATTCACAATGGTACGTCTTACACCTCTATCCCTGCAATCAAATATACCGTCTTTTTATATTTTTAAGTGTGAAAACATTAGATTATTCCTTCTCTCTGCTATAAGTCCGCGAGTCACTTTTACCCTTGACCACACTTGAAAGATTCCCATTGTAGACTCAAAAACTAAAAAAAGTAGCGTTCCACGCACCTCTGACCCTTTAGTAAAAGTAAATTCAACCTGACCGCGTCAACCTTGTTGCACCGGCTAGTCCAATTGAGTGTCTGCTTTATTTACCCAATGTCCAGGCGATGCAGTACAAACTGCAGGACCAGAAAGGTTGACCCGGCTCGGAAATTCAAATGTACTTATACGGCTGCCCGTGGTTCTATATCAGAAGTGGGACTCTAAAAATGTTACCTGAATTCCTCCATGAATACGCTTTATATTGATGATACTAAACACTATATGAGAAATGTTGTTTTGTCCAGGAGTCACAGAAAATAAGCATTTTTATTCAAATTGTTAAAAACTGGATTTTACATAAAATATTATTTATTTAACAATTCAAGATAAAAAATATGTAACATTAGCGTACACTGGGGTTCTTAACTGACAAATATTTCAAATTTAGAAAGTAAATACGAAGTAATTGAGTCTGGGTTTGAAATATTAAAGGTTTACACCATCAAGTTGCAAAGACATAGGGATTAAATAATTCTACTTTTCGACAAAGTCTGATAATTCAAATATTTAAAAGGTACCGTTGTGAATCGGACATTCTAGTCTACAAAATTTCACTCGAAATTAAGTCTACAGACTTGCCGTCCCTTTAATAAAACTAAAATTAAGTCTACAGACTACAATACAGTCCCTTTAATAAAACTAAAATTAAGTCTACAGACTACAGTCCCTTTAATAAAACTAAAATTGAGTCTACAGACTACAGTACCTTTAATAAAACTAAAATTAAGTCTACAGACTTGCCGTCCCTTTAATAAAACTAAAATTAA